CCCCTCAGCCAGTCCCGCACCCTTCCCCCAGACGCCGGGGTCCCCTCGGGCTTCCCTTCCCGGCCGGCGGATACATGGAGGCTCCAGGCCGCGGACGGTGGTGGCGGCGGCTCCATGAAGAGCGAAGGGATCCGGACCAGGCCACTCCCCGCGGCCCCGTCTCCGGGCGACTCACTCCCGAACCGAGCGCGCAGTGAGCGGGTCCGGACAGAGCGGCGCCAGCCGGGCCGGCGGTGGCCGCTGCCCCCTGCCGGCCGGAGGAGCTCACTGCACCACGCCGGCTCCTCCCGCCCTGCCCCGCCGCCCCAGCCTCAGTCAGGTCTGGGCCCGCAGCTCTGATGTCCTTGGCACGGGGCGTCGCACGGGGGCTCAGAGCAGGGCGACCCAGCCCCCGGTCCGCCAGGCGAGACCCCCAGCCACCGGCCCGCCAGGCGAGACCCCCTGCCACAGAGCCGCCGGGAACATGCTGGCTCACATCAGGGCCACCCAGGCACAGGCCCGCTGGGTGAGACCACAGGCACAGGCTGCTGCCACAAGACCGTCACCTCACCAGGACTGGTTGCAAAGCCCTGCTACAAACATGGAGGCTCTAGAACTCTCCCAATGAGCCTGCCATGCCACCTACAGCAATGATAATGACGTGTGTCTCTGCCCTGCAGAAATGGGTGCAATCGCTGAGTGATTCCCGGGCAGTGCCTGTGAAATGCTGGGTTCCTACAGCAGGATTTGTTACGAAGCTCGAAGTCGCTCCCCAACACCTCATTTAAGCTGCCTTTTGGGTTTCCATAGTTAATAGGGATGAAAAGCTTGGTAAGCCTGCTCTGAAATGAGAACCAAATTGCAGATATTGGCTCAGCTGTTCAAACCCTAGGCAGCCCTGGTGATGACTTGTGGAAATATTTGCAGTTATTACCAAATAAAAACACTGCTACATCCTATCCAGAGACTCCCGACAAATTATTCCCTGGTTCAGTCACAAAATCATCTCTGTGTCATTCAAGTAAGTATGAAGGAGTGAAACTAGTTTTTATCATTGTAGGTTAAAGTGTTCCTGGAACCACCAACCCCCGAAGGTGTTGTTTTGTTTTTTTATTATTATTATGTGAGAAGATGTAAAAGGTGAAAGAATGGACAGGTATTTTAGGGAAGCTCTTCCTGGTGTCGAGACTTTGCAAACACGTAGCCGGATCTTCACCCCGCTCTCTTTGGCTGCTTCTTTTCCTGCTGTTGCATCAGCTCCTGCTCTGTGATAGTTTCCTTTCCTTAAGCTGCAGCCAGTACTTCTCCCTCTCCAGGTTGCCCTTGTTCACTGTGCCTAGGGGAGTACTGTGCTGGGTTTGAGATGCAGATTTTTAACAAGAGGTAGGTAGTTAACTATTGGAACAGCTTCCTGAGGGATTCTCCAAGCATTTGGAGAGTGACTATCTTTCCAAAACATGTACTCTAATACAACCACTAGTTGTGGGAGCTGATGGAGGAATTTCTATAGCCTGTGTTATGTAGAAGGACAAACTAGATGACTATAGTGGTCCCTCCTGGTATTAAAATTAATGAACCATCTTGGTCTGTTTCTATAGCAATTTTGTAATGTGGCTGAAAACCTCAAATCTCCCCCTGCAAAAAAATGGTTTAGAGGTTGGCTTATGCCCTGATTCACAAAAGTTTAACTCCCTTCTGAACCACTGCATTATTTGATTATTTGGGACCCTCACCACTCTAACTTTAGATAGTCTTGCTATGCAACACTGCTCTGAACACTGCTAAGCTCTTGGCCTCCTAATGTCTATCTCCTAATGCCACTGCCATTCCCTTGCTCATTCCGGATGGAGCTGCATCCTGTATGTCCAGGGATCCTGATGACAGTTGGAAGGCATATTGTTTTAGGAAGATAAACTGGTGGGAAGCCCAGTGGTGTCACATGAGTCGATGTGCTGGCAGAAGTGGACAGGCAGGAGGGCTGGCCTGAAATAAATCATCCCCATGCCATTTGGATGAGTGGGACGGTTCCTGTCCCTCGTAGTTACATGGTCAATGGCTTGTGCCCATGAGGAAGTCATGGCTTGGTGGGACTGTGAGGTCACAAGAAGTTCCCCTTTCCCCTCTCCTCCGCCCCCCCCCCTTCCCCTGCCTGTTACTTATTGATGACTGGCAGGATACTGAGGTCACAGGTACTCGGCAGAGAGGCTGGCCCTTGCTCAAGAAGCAGAGCCGTTGTTTGTGACTGGCCTTGAATTGTGAATCCGAAGCCTGAAGCCATACTGAACCACCCCAGATCACTGGCTTGTGATCACCGCGCCGTCCACACCCAAGCTGGTGAAGAAATGGCAGAGCCTTTCATTGCAAATTGACTCAGGCCCATGAGGAAAATGATCAAACAGGGTCCTGACATGCAGCTTACTCAGTAAAACAAGGTTCTCCTGCAGTGACCAGTCAGTGAACAACCCCAACGGGACCGTGTTAGTGGCTGAAGATGTACAAATGCAGGAGATAGCTCTGGCACTGAGAGCATGGGACAAATCACTGCAGCCCAGCAGGTCACATCCTGCAGCTAGGTGCCTGCTGATACTACACTGATCTGGGACACCCTGGTGTACACACACACACACCCACACACCCCTTGTGTTACATGCACGTGTGTGTGCACATCACTGCCAGGTTCTGAAGTTTTTCACTGTCCTGTTTGAAATGTTACAGTCTCTCTCTCTAAATAGTTGTGGAAAGTTAGTTATTTATGATTGCAAGAGTGAGGGGCTAATAGCATGGACTAGAGACAGTTACAGGATGTACCACAGGAGGGTGCTATGCATGCAGCTCAGTGCACCTGAATCCTGGCCTCATAGCATCCCTGTAAGTGCAGTCTTGGGCTCCCAGAAAAGCTCTGCCCTCACATCTGTCCTGAGATACAGCAGTGTGTATGTCCTCCAAACTGCTGCCAGTGCAAACACTGTCCAGGGCCACAGCACTCCCTGCTGTTTCCATCTTGGTCCTGTGACGTGGTGTACCAGGCCTTCTCTGCCCCTGCTGGAGGCATCTCTGCCCTGACACACCCACCCACAGAGAATTGTCACGTAGGAAAGAGCGGCAGTGAGTTCAGAACTCCAAGCTCTGGTACTGGCAGAACTAACAAGACTTGGTCCTCTGGTGGCTGAAAGGGCTGGGAGGAAGCAGTAGCCAATCAGGACCCATTAGGTAGGGTTACCATATTTAAAAAATAAAAAAAGAGGACACTCCACGGGGCCCTGGCCCTGCCCCTTTCCCACCCCAACTCCGCCCCTTTCCCAAAGTCCCCGCCCTAACTCCCCCTCCTCCCTCCCAGCCACGTGAAAAGGGCTGCCCCAGCGCTACCGGCTTCACGGTTTGCCGGGCAGCCCCCAGACCCTGTGCCCCCGGCCAGCGCTTCCCCAGCGCAGCTGGAGCCCGGGAGGGGAAGCGCCCAGCCGGGGGCGCAGGGTCTGGAGGCTGCCCGGCAAACCATGAAGCCGGTAGCGCTTGGGCTTCGGGCAGCCCCCATGCCTCCGGACCCTGCGCCCCCGGC